GTGTAATTTGAAGTTATTCAGCTAGTTCCAGATTTTTCCAGGCTTAGTAACAAAAAAATAGACAAAAAATATGCAAAAATGACATAAACTGAAATTTTCAAAAAATTATGAAAAGTGTGCAAAGTTCGAAATTTTAATGGAAACGGTAACAAAATTAGAAAAAATTGGTAAATCTTAACTTATTCCACATTGTTACCTATGGTCCCCCCCCCCCTTTGACTTGGGCCCCCCTATTCTCATGGCCCCCTAGTCATAAAGAGCCGAAAAAACTCTAATAGAATGTCATCTTTAACTTTCAATTTTGAGCTGATATATCTCGGTTTCTTTAACAGCTATCCAGAATATTTTTACAGGAATGGAGATAATTTAGTTCAAAGTTATCTGTTTGGATGGGCTGTTGTTAGCGGAACTACGGTGAGCCAAGTTTAGATGCCTACGAATAGTGAAATTTGTTGGGTGACACTAAACATTTTCAGTTGTTTTAAACAAAAACAGAGCTTTAGATTTGTATTTAGAATTTTTTTTTACGAATTCATCCGAACAAGATATACCGCTTCAAACCAATCAACTGCCACAACTTCCAGAAATTGCATAGAGTTCAGACTTACGACACTTTTAAGGGGTAATCCTCATTTGGATGAATTTGTACAAAAAATTTCCAACTACAATACTGAAGCTCTTTTTTGTTTAGTAGACCGGCAAATTTTCAGTCTTGTCCAACAAATTCTACTATATTTGGTTACCAAAGTTGGTTTTTTTCCACTAAAAACTAATTAAGTACCACCCAAGCCGTCACCTTTGAACCCATATATCTCAGGTAGTCAACTGATAAACTATTTATCATAATATCAGGAGTGTTTTGGAAGTTAACACATTTTTGATGTCTTTAACAGGAACTGAGATAAGGACGGTCAAAGTTAGGGGTCCTTCTATCACAGGTTGTACTGCACATCTCAAGCTCATGTTCTCTGACCCTTTGCTTCTTTACTTCCTGAATTCCTCTCCACTTTTTTTTATTTTTCCGTCAATAGCTACTTTTCAAAATCCCGTCACCTTCTTCTTTTTTCCCGCTCCCTGATTGAGTGTGGTGACCGGTCCTCTCCTGGCGTGCTGCCAATTACCGTTCGAAACCTCAGAAGAAGAAGATGTACAAGCTTCAGTTCTCCTTCTTTTTTTTCCATTTTCTCATCTACCCATCAATCATAATTTGTTCTACTGGCCGATGCTGGTCAACAGCGTCCCTTTCACCCTCTGAAGAAGTCATTTCAAAATCCAGGATCTTCTTCTTTTGTGTTGACACCATAATCGGATAAAAAGGTGTTGGGTTATCCTTTAGGTCAGAAACTGACCTAAAGGATTTCTACTTTTCCATCTTTTTTCTTTTATTGACTCATTCAATTTTTTGACATTCCGAATCTCCCGCAGTGTGCGGCGCCAGGTGACAGCTCAAAGGATCAGGGCAGATGGTCTGCGGGTCTAGGTCAAAAAGTGTGATAACAAATGGAGTGAGATTTCCCAAGGACAGACAAAATGAATTCCTTTTTAAATTAACTCTTTCCTCTCCCTCTTGGAATCTTCCGTTCTGTATTACATAATGAAATTGAGAAGCGACAACAGATCGTCTCTTTGGAACGATTGTTGACATGCGAGTGTTACCGATTACACGCTTCAATCGGTTCTCCATTTCCTTCCCCAGATAAGGAATCCAGAAGACGTTAGGGATATGAACAGAGAAAGAGAGAGAAAACAAATTAGCCTATCGGTGTGCAATCAATCCGTTTGTCTGTCCTCTAACTGACCTCTTCCCTATATGACAAATAGGCAAAAAATGGGATAAATGAGTAGTAGTCCGGTCCGTTTGCTTAAGATTGAGTGAGTTGCGAGGAGGACACGACACGGTTATCAGATAAGTTTACATAGAGGTTACTGTGTTGCTGCCACTAATACTTTTTTGATGAGGCGAGACGTAATCGGACATGACTCTGACTTGACGGAGAACTGATGCTGTGGATCTCGTGTTTCGGGATGGATAAGAGTTGACAGTTTAGGAGAGGGGTACTGTAGAAATGTTTTTTTGTGGCCTGGGGTAGTTTCTAAACATTTTATTTTTTGTTTCGAAGTTGGTGTCTTATGTTTTCCTTCATCCACCTGGACAGGTGGCTTCTGACCTTGGTACTGGGTATCTCGGTAAAAAAAATTTTTAAACAACAATTCATTTTGAACAAAATTTGAAAAGTTTAGAAAAAACTAGAGTGTTCATCATTTTCACGTTAGCTAGCTAATAGTAAGCTCTTAAAAATTTCCATAAAGTAGATTTTGGATGCTTGAAAATCATAGTAGATCTTGTTACATTAAACTGTGAATTTCAGAGTATATTAATCAAAAGCAGAGCTTCAATTTTGTAGTTGACAACGTTTTTGTGAAAGTTTGGATAATCTGAATTTTTAAAATGTTTCATTTTCGAGATTCTGAAATTCTGAATTTTTTTCGATTTCTCTGATTTTTGATTTTTTGAACTTTTTGAAGTCTGGGTTATCGAATTTCTGATTTTTAAAAAATATTTGAAAATTCTAGGACCTCATAACGTCCCAACCCGACTGGTTCTACCTATTTTTACGAATTCTCAGCTTCACCTCACCTCTTCCTGTCTTCGCTAATTATGTCTCGAGTGAAACAGTCAGCATTATAATTTTCCAATTCTATTCATCCCTCTATATTTCTACCCCATTCTTCTTCCCTCATTTCCTCGAATACTCAGTAATTCACCCACACCTTCTCCTTGTTCTCCCGCCCCTTCTATTCAGTCCGTTACACTCCCGAATCGCGCATTGCTGCCTCACCGACGGGGTTGTCTTATTGCGTAACCCGTACCCTATCATAACTCTCTCTTCCCAAAAAAGAGGAGAGAAGATAATCAAAAGAGAACGGAACGAGGAGGAGGATATCATTAACTACTCCCGTTCTTCTCCCCAGTTAACTGTCTTCTTATCACCTTCTTCCTAGTTATCCATCCACTTTTCCTTGTTCATTGTTTTTCTATTGGTTTTATTCAAGTTGGTCTGATAGAATTGGGGTTAGATAAGATCCGGTTAAACCGATAGTAATCAACTCATAAAAATTCTTAATTGAGAGTTCTCGAATTATCAAGCCAATGAATACAGCATCCTTAATCCGGCTTCTTGAGATGAATGTTATTCTAGAAATCCTTTTAAAAAAAGCTCTGAATTTTCTAACTATTGCTACAGCATTTCTATCTTAGCATAATTTAGAGCTGCACCCTGACCGTCAATTTTGAGCCTTTTTTATTGTCCAGAGTGCCGCACAACCACCTGGACTGATTAAAATGGGTATATCTCTAGACATAAGCATCTTGGAAGCACGAAAATTTGTAGAAATTTTTTTAAAGTCTGATTCAAAGCTTCTGAAATTCTCAAAGCGATTCTTAAAGTCTAGGTATTGTTATGATTGTCCAAAGATGAAAGACGTAATATTTTGTTGTGATTTTCATGAGATGAAGCAACTTTGATTAGCGATAACTCAGCTCAGAGTTGACCAAATAATTTGAAGTTTGGCCAGTTTTCTGATGAATTGTTTGAACTTTCAAATACAAAATGTTGAGCTCAGTAGCTCAGTACAACGTTTTACTCAGATTTTATGCTAGTACAAACTTGAGACCGGTAATTATGCGCCATCCTGTAGAGTTCAGAGTCGTAACCCTTCCAGGAAGTATATCTCATCTGGATGAATTCGTACAAAAAAGTTGCAATTTAGAAAATTGAAGCTTTTTTATTGCTCAGTAGAGCTGCAAAATTTCAATCACATCGAACAAAATCTACAATTATTTTGAGACATCCAAATTTGGCTATAAAATTGGTGAGATTGATGAACTTTTGGCTTTTCACAGGAACCATGAAAAGTTGGTTTAAAATTTCACTAATTCGGTTAGAGTTTTACTGCAATTTCAGTGATTCATTTTCTTAGACCACCGCTTGCTTGAAGTGTTTTGCTTCTAACTATAAACTGACCTTCATCAAGCCGCACACATAGGGCATCCTCCTCTTCCCGATACCACTTTTGTATTACCAAACTTTCCGCACTTTTCCAATTCTTTATGGTGTTCCTCTTCCTTTCTTCCTCTTATTCTTCCACCAACACTTGACATGTTCAAGATCATTTCTTCGAAGCCAACAGCAGCAGCAGTTGTACCCCAACCAAATGCCAATTCGTTTCTTGATTTGATTGTTTTGTGTCCAACATCCTGTGTGAGAGTTCATAGTGTCTGCTCCACCACTTCTTGGGCCTAATTGATAATTAGGTGTTTGTGTGTATGTTGTAAGGGACACACATCTGGCACAACTCATCTGGTGCTCTGAGGAGACCCTACCCTATTCATTTTCTCATCTGTTTATACAAGTTTTGTTTTGGCCCGCCTGCTGGCTGCTACTACTACTACTAAACTAAACGCTCTCATAGGTGTGAAAGACAATTAAGCATGGACAATAGAGAACACTGACTAATTATAGTTATATTTGTACATACAAACACACATTCCCGTAGTAGTAGTTCTCTTTATATGTAGCTGCTGTCTTCTATAGCATAATTATCACAACACCCTTTCTATAACATCTTCTTTTTCTTCTTTTTCTTCTTCATCAGCCTCTGGAATCTTCGTACATCCTGTGGGGTCCGTCCCGAAAGGCAGTCAGTTCTGGCTCATTAGTCGGACGTCTTGTGTCCTGCAAAGCGGCGGACGGGTCACGCAATCTCAGTCTATTCATCCTCTCTCTTTCGGCACATCTCCTTAACTCGAAGCATTCCTTCCGATGAAGAAGACGACAACATCTTCTTTTGGCTGCTACTTCATTCTTCTGAATTATGTATACCAGTTTGTGTTATCCACTTATGTTTGTAGAGCTTTTTGGAAAAGAGAGGAAGATAGAAGTCAACTCATCTAGACGAGTTGCAACTATATTCTGTTTGAAAGTTTAGCGTTTTTCGAGCATTTTTATTCTACTTTCTTCCTGAACCCTTCAAATTTTGTCGAAAATAACTTTGTGGACCCAAGATGCTCTGAGCCGGTCTTGAATCCTTCCAGTTGGCATACATCATTTAATTTTTTGAGTTATCTAGGGCCTGTACCCAGAAGACCTAGATCTCGAAGGTTCCTTATGAACTTATGAGCTTCAGATATTATGTACCTTGAAGCTCAATTAGCTTCACATGCCCATCGGAACTTTGATATCCATCACACACCCGAACTTGATATCTTTTTCTTCTGCCCTCTTTTCCGGCTCCCTCACATTTCATCATTTGTCAAACTACAACATGTTTCTACATCTTGGATTACATGTGCTACATCCAACTTTTTTTGTCTGTTGCCTCTCAAGACCTGTGACACCACTAGTGGTCCAAGACACATCAATTTACACGTCAATTCATTGTTCTTGTGGCAAATTACATTGTTTTTGAAGCTGTTGCTCCAAAGAGAAGATAGGGCAGGTGCCCCCGTTGAAAAAAAATGTAGCAAGTGCCGAGATTGATTAGTTGAGATGAGCAAATTTTTTCCGAAGCTTTACCAAAGCTGTGCCACGGTCGGTTTTTGGGATAGGTAGGCGGCTTTGCTATCGTAGTGGTTTTTGGTGACCCTACTGATTTTTGGCAACCCTAGTGGTTTTTGGCGACCCTGGTGGTTTCTCCTGAACCGAGTAGTTTCTTGCTACCCTAGTGGTTTTTGGAGACCCTACAGGTTCCTACCCACAACCTAAGTCGCGGTCAGCCTTGTTGGTAACCGATCAGACACCCCGAATGATTTACGGTACCTTATTTTGACTAAAAAAGATGAAACCGAACGTATTTATTTCCCCCAAAAACCAGAAGCCGTATCTCCCAATTCTCCTTTTTCTTCCTCTCATCACCATCAATCTTTTCCTCACTTGGTGGTTTCTTTTTTCTTCTTCGTTTCTGTCTATGCCTTCAGGTATCAAATGCCGACGAACGCTTTTGATTCGATTACGGTAATCGTTTCGGGCTTGAAGCTATGAGAACCCTTTTATGTTTATGTCACTCTTCTGTTTGTGTTGTGTTGTTGAAGAATTGAAATGGCGGGAGAGAGAAGTTTAATTGGATACGGATTTCGATTGACAGCCCCAAAAACCCGTCACCATCATCCGGCTTTTCATAAAATGCCATTGTTTGAAGAACATACAGTGGATATGGGGGAGCAACCACACGAGAAGAGATGTATCCTTCCTTGTGTGTGCATTTGTAGGCTCCCATGGTGTCGGTTCGAATTTCACTGACCAGAGTGGATCTTTTGACTCGAGCTATGACTTTTGGAGAATTCCAGTTTCCTCGACTTTCTCCTTTTTATGAATGTACTTCTCACTAATTTTTTCCATTTAATGTCCTCTTTATGGGAGTCCCAGAAAATCAAATCTCTTCCGCTCATCAAGTCCATTGAAGTGTGTATGGGTGTATTCTGTCTTTTTCACACTTTTCCTTCTTTTTTTCGAAGCTCCTCACACGTCTTCTCATTCGAATCCGAGGCGGCTCTTCGTTTTTCGATTAACCTTTTAGGCTTGTGTTGAGAGCCGAAGAAGAAAAAAAAGAAGGGGAAGGGCTACTCCGGAAAGAGTGGGCTCGTAAAATTCATCTATCCCCGCTCCTTTTGCGTTTTTGTGTGAGTGCACGGCTTCAGGAATTTGTAGTATTTTTTCTTGTTGTCTTAAATTTTCATCCTTCTCATCTTGTTATCCCTAAATCCGCAGCTCCCACGGTTACGAACCAGGTGTCGTGGTATTCAGATTTTCTCAATATAGATGTTCAGATATCCTGGATGCCCTGAAGACCCGTGTCTGAGATACCACCGCTTTCGAAAATCGGAAATCCGGCTATCCTGAACATCGTATGTTCGGAAAAAAGAAAACATTCGGATATCCAAATTCGAAGATTGTAATTTCTAGACTTCGGAAATTTTCATTACCAGACATCCTCAATTGCCTTAAATACACTAATCAAAGGCCATCCGAACCGCCAACTTTGAGCCCAGATATCTCATTTCCTGTGAAAGATACATATCTCAAAATTTCCAAAAAGACCTTTAATGGTTCTCATCCCAAAGTCCAAGTTCCATTCTTCCCACAAACTGACACCCATTTTTTTACATCCCGTTGAAAACCTAATTTGCATTCAACACGACGAAAAAAAAGTTTGTGTGGCTCATTCCATCTTGTACACATATATTTTCTTCTCGCCGGTGCTCTTTAGCTTGTTTGGCATTCGGGATAACATGCGCATCATGATGGCCACAAACGATCATCCAATTTCATTTGACCACACACACAGAGCTCTCTTTTCTTCTTCTTCCTCGAAAGTTTCCATTACACATTTTTATATACACACATACATATATCCGGGGGCACTTGCTCCAAAGAGCAATATGCTCTAACGATTCGGCTCATCTAAAGGGGGTACCCCTGCCAATTAGTACTAGACTCAAGCCATTCGATTCATTTCAAGTGTGTCAATGTGTCGGATGCACCTGTCTGTTCTTTTTCCTACTGAATTTCCAAAAAGGAATGCCGCTTTCTCGCTCTGTCTCATTTGAGTTACGCCATATTGAGAGGAGAAGAAGAATTGGTGGGAATCTAGGAGGGAAAGAGCAGATGCTTATAATTGCATGGATTTCGTATGGGGCTTATAAAGGAAAAAAAACGAAGGACAAACCGTGTCTAATGAAGACATTGGGGAAGATTAGGAAGAAGGGGAGGGCTCTAGATAGGTATCTTTTAATTAAAACATAGGAATAATTTGTGCAGGTAGAGTAGGATTTAAGCTCAGGATTAGAGAGCGACCAATTTTCTAATATTCGTATGTACCAGATCCCAGTTTGAACATGTTCAGCTCTTCAGAATTTTGGATAGCCCTGTTTTATTTTCTGCTATCTTCGACACCTGTCAGTCTTTTGAAGACTCGTTTTATCTTTTCGTATTGAAGCTCAATTTCATGTTTGAAGATTTTATTGAAGCCGAATTTTCTGTTTGAAGACATTTTTGTTTGAAGCCAAAGAAGATTCCATAAAATTGAAATTTTTTAGGTTGCTGAAAGATTCCAACCTTCAAAAATGTTTTCAATTTCGTAAATCTTCTGAAGCTCTTGAATATTTCCTTTTTCTAATGGCTAGAAAAATACTTTAAGCTCTAAATTGTCATCTATTCAGGAATCAATAATTCAGCACAAAGACAGTATTACCAGCTTGAAACTCAATTCAGGAAACTTTTTCATATAACTTTATTTGGCCTATCTTGTGTTCTCTTTTATAATGGAATTGAACAGACACCGGGTGGCGCATCACTACCCGGACTGATGAAAACGAGTGTATCTTCAGACTTAATCACTTTGGCAGCACGAAAATTGGTAGAAATATAGTTTTACGTTGAATTCTAAGCTGCTGAAATTTTCAAAGCGATTCCTCACATCTAGATATTGGTATGATTGTTCAAAGAAAACTTCGTAATGTTCATTGAGATTTTCATAAGCTAAAGCAACTTTGACGAGCGATAACTCAGCTCGACATTGCTAATATGATTTGAAATTTTGCCAGTTTACTGCTCAGTAAAACGCTTCACTCAGATGTTATGCTCTTACAAACTTCAGACCGGGTAATTAGGCTCCACCAATAAAATTACCAAGTTTACATTAACAATTAATATAAACAATCGAAAACACCCGCGAAAGTTGCCCCCAAAGATTTGTACCGTAAATACAGCTCCTCATTTCCTGTGTTGCCATTTCCTTCCGTATGCTCATCGTTAGCCTATACAAAGACCTCTCCTCTTGGGGTATTCCCAACAGGTCAAGTACCATAGGAAAGGCACTGTGGCTTCTTGTTTCTTGTAGAGTATAACATTTCTCTATCCCAAAACCTTCCACTCGTTTTCATTTTTCATCCAAAAAGCTTTTAGATGAAACTTCTCTCTCATTTTTTATAGATTTTTTATAGCCCCCAACCCCTGGGTGGTCGTAAACCGTCAATAGTCCAAGTAGTTTTGTCTCATTTCGAAAAAAAGAGGGTATTAGTCGATGTGTATTTTTAAACAGAAAACCTAAACGACCTTCATTTCGAATTTCTGTTCTTCCTTCTCTTTTTTCTATCGTAATGATAAGCACGCCAATTTGGACAAATGAAAAATCAAAAGTGACGAAGGGGGCCTACCGCATTGCAAGAGACACACACTTTTATGTGATTATTCACACCTTTTCTGTCAATCTGTCCCCGATTTTATTTATCTCCTCTTTTTTCTATTCTTTCTTTTTTTTGGTTCGGTAGGTGACAACAATGTTGTGATGTTTTATAAATATGGTTGTGTAATGGATATAGGAACAAATTTATGGCTATATCCCATTCGCGCTGATTCAATCATCATTCACAGAACTTTGAAATTACCGTAAACCCTGTAATAGAAGGGACCCTTAATGTTTGGCTTTGAGCCAATTTTTCTCGTTTTCCGTAAATTATATCAATAAGTTGTCAACTGAAAAACAAGTTATCCAAATTTTTGATATCCAAAAAAGAAGCCGAGATAATTGAGCTCAAACTTCACAGTTTGAGGGACCTTCTATGAGAGGTTCCACGGTATGTAATTTGTTATTTATCATAGTTTAACCTATATTTTATCAGTTGACAAAATTTTGATACCTCTGACAGGAAATAAGATAATGCTGATGATTTGGGAGTGCTTCTATTAGTGGAAATACGGTATTCTCCATTCGCCTGATTTTGTAATAATAGAACTTAGGAATCCTAAAATTCAGATATCTCAATCACTGTGAAAGAAATGACAAATTTGTCACTTGATAAATTATTTATCACAACATCACCAATATTTTTTCAGTTAACAGATTTTTTATATCTTCCACAGGAATCGAGATAATTGAGCTCAAAGTTGTCTGCTTCTATTATTGTGTTTACGGTAGCCTTAATTTTTTTTGGAAGTTTTCAGCTTCTCTCAGTTTGTTTCATACTTTTCATATTTTCTTCTTCTTTTCGGGATTTTTTCTTCACCCTCACTTTTCCTAATGATCCTTACAATTCTCCATTTTTCAGATCCTCTCCAACACCTCCAGAATCCTGATGGTGTGATGCGGTTACCCATCCTTCCTCTTCTTCTCACTCTATTCCCAATCTTTGGTTGGACCCGAAAAATTCCGGATATCAACTGGATTTCGTCGAATCCAATGTGAGTCTGTCTCATCATCGTCGGGGGTTTTTCTTATAGTTTACAACCCTTTGATCAGCTCGCCGACTTCTCTCTGCGTCTCTCACTTTCTAGTACTCTCTCACCCAAGGTTATGATTAGGATCGGCGTATAGAACATGAGTATGTTTCATACTGTTTTGGGAAAGAGATGGATAAAGTGACTGTTCTCCTTCTCAAAGATAGATATACTCCTTCCCGCCAAAGAAAACTAACGAGGGAGTGTAGAGAAATGAGAGACGCAGAGAGAAGGTAATTCATCATTACCGCAAAACGGAGAAGAAAGGATGAAAAACAATAAAGAAAAGGATATTCTAAGAGAAAGGGAATTTGTGTTACGAAATAAAAATTTAAGACCAAAATTTCAGATTCGACGTCTCCAACACTGATCACGTCATATCTGTACATATCGGAGACCGGGTGTCCATCAAATGTCCAAAATCGGAGCCTAATGGAAAATATGAGTACTCATACATCTATATGGTATCTGACGAAGAGTATGATCACTGTTTCCTATCCAAACCAAGGCTAGTAGGAGCTTGTGATAATCAGACTGTTGATGTAAGTTTCCTTCCGAAAATTTGACAATCTGAAACTTTTGCTTAGGCATCCATCAACATTGTGTTCCGATCATTCACACCCACACCAGGAGGATTTGAATTCCAACCCGGGAAGAATTACTTCCTGATCAGTACGTCAGATGGAACTCAAGAAGGAATCGATAGGAAAAAAGATGGGCTGTGTACAACGAAGCAGATGAAAATCAAGTTTGAAGTGGAGAAAGATCGACGGGGTATTCAGAATCCAAAGTTCGCGGCAAGGACGTTGAAAAAGGATCGGGATGCTGAGCAATCGACGCCAGTCATGTATGTAGTACACGATGGGAATGACATTGATGATGGTAAGCTTTTTTTTTGAAGGATCCTAAATATCAAGTTCTATAAATTGTGAATTCATAGCTACCGTATTTTCGCTGATAGCATCCCCAAGAAATCGACCATTTTGAGCTCAATTATCTCACTATCAATTGCTATAAGAGATAACAAAAATTGGTCAACTGTAAATGTTCATCATAATATCACCAATATTTCATCAGTTGACATAATTTATCAGCGAAATACGGTATCCGGTCAGTAAGATATACAAAAACGCCTTTTTCAGCTTTGACCATTTTCAGGAGTCTGGAACTCGACAGTCAAGTTTCCGAGCACTAAATCTTTGGAGGTTATAAAACAGACCAAGATTAAAAACTTTGCATTCACAGAATTTTTTGAAAACTCTCAGTTTATAAGCTATTTGCGCGATTTCTTTTCAGAGGATTAAAAGGATTAAAAGAATTTTGAAATTTACAATTTTATTTCCTCTTATTTTTCAGACGACGACGGTTCCAACGCCTGCTCCTATCTCGTCTCAATCGTCTTCCTTCTTGCTTCCCGTTACTTCTTGTAGTCCTTTTTACTTTTCTCTTCCCTCTCCATCCCAATTCTTCTTTCCAAACCGCTCACATTGTCATCTAACGGGTTCCAGAACGTCTTCTTTGTCACACAAAACCACCTCTTCTCTATAATTATAACTTCTCTTCTCTTTTTTCTGAATGTCCAGTGATTCCTTTTCCTAGATTCTAACTTCTCCGAATTCTTCTCCTTTTTTGCCGATTCTCCTGTGATCCAGATTAAGAGAATAAAGATGCTTAAAAACTTCTCAAATCAATTAAAAGTACAAGTTGCAAATCGAAAATAAAGAGAGAAAATTAAATCAATAGAAAATAGAACTAATTAGTGTGACTTTGGTGACCGAAGCGGAAAAGGAAAATGGGACCAAATTGAAGAGACAGGTTTTATTTATCACTGTCTCTTCTTCTCACTCTCTTCTTGAAGACGTTGTGTCTTTCCACAAGAATCTCTTCGCTTGTTTTCTCTGACCCTCATGAAAATGTTGGAAGAAAGATGACGATCAGGTGTTTATTATGTGCTATTATTTTGTTTTATTCTAGTCAAAATGTTGAGGGAAACAGTCAAATTGGTAAGTTTGCTCTATTGATGATAGCCTGGTCAAAAAAAATTCTCGCAGACAACACCTTCAAGGCTAAAGCCTTCGTCGCATTCCCGTCTCCAACTTCTAGTATTTTCGATTGGGTTCCTTTCAAACCATTTGGTTCCAAACAGTCTGTAAGTGTTTTTTGTTCGATGAATTTTTACTTTCTTTATTTTGTGCCAAAAATCATATAATTTCACATAAAAGTAAAGAGGAAATTTAAAAAAAGTTTTCTGCACAAAATTTAAAAAAAAACGTTTTTTTTTCAGACACCTCTGATTCGCTTAAAAGTTCGAGCTTATAATCGAGTAGTGTTCACTAAAAAAGACTCACTTCTCAAGGAAGTCGAAAATGTTAGCGAGTACAAAAAAGAGCAAGAAAAGCAGTTTGAGAAGAAGAAGAACGATCCAACGTCAATTGAGGAAAAAGAGATAATTGTAAATGAGCCAGATAAGATGTACGAAAAGGGGGAGGAGCCAAAGATTTTCTTGGTTCCAAAACAAGGAGAAACTGTATCAAGAATTGGTAACGAGTATGGTCAAGAAGAGGTGATAGGAAATGATAATGAAGATGAGGTGGAGAAGCCGAAAGATGACGATTTCCAAATAATGTATGACGATCAGTTGAAGGAGTATGTGCTGAAAAGACCGCTGAAGATGGATAAAAATGGAATAATTGATTCATGGAACGGTGGAGATTCAAAGGAGAGAGGAGAAGAAAAAACAACAAGAACAGGAGAAGAAGGAGAAGATGATGAAGCTAGAAGGATTCTAGAGAATGAAGAAGAAGGCCTCGGCGTTCGTGGAATCGGAAATGAAACTATTCGGAACACACCGAAGAAGGAAAATGTCACAGAAGTGAATCTGGAAGAAGAGGAATTGAATTTGGAAGGTGAGACTTTATCCATATTTCCGTAAATAAATTAATAGATACCCAAACCGTCATCTTTAAGCTCAATTATCTCGATTCCTGTAAACGTTATCAGCAATTTGTGAACTGATAAAATATTGTCGATAGTATGGTAAAAATTTATCAGTTGACAAGTTTTTGATATCTTCCACAGGAATCGAGACAATTGATCTCAAATTGAATGGTTTGTGTGAGCTTCAATTTTTTGAAAATACAGTATAAATATTTTTTCTCACTCATTCCAGACCTAGAGCCCAAATCCCATCGCTTTAAACCTGGAAAAAGCAAGATTCGTACTTATGACCTGGCTTGGATGGATCCGCGCCTCCTAGAAAAAGAAGAATTCTCAGTTCGGTTGACACCTCAAGAGAGATCTGATTGGCGAGATAAACTTATCAATTTGACACTTTTGGAGGAACGAAGAGCCGATGAACACAGGGATTACGGTAGCAGTTATATTCTCCCGGTTCTGAAAAGTGTGGATTACGATAATACAAGTGTGCCTTTGGCGTTTAATGATATTCCGGTGAATGTGGCGGTCGCTTTTAATTTTCTGTATCTGGCGAATTTCGATAGCGAGATGATGGAGTTTTCGATGGATGTAGAAATGGAATTCTCGTGGATTGATATTAGGTAAATGCTTTTGAAATACAATCAGCCTGTTTGCCGCGTCTCCGGCGCTTCAAAAATCTGGCTGGTGCGCTGTCGGCGCGAGTTGATCTGGTTTTGCTCGTTCGTCGCTTCGCTCCTCACTCTTTGAGCTGAATTACCTCGATTTCTGTGAAAGATATGAAAAATTTCTCAACTGATAACTGTATTATCATGATATCACTAATATTTTATTAGTTAAGGGGTTTTTGATATATTCCACAGGAATCGAGAAAATTGAACTACAAATTGACAGTTCTGTATGCTGCTATTAAAGGAAATACGGTATTTTATTTCAGACTAGTGAACAACTACACTAAACCAATCAGAATCCGCGAGAAAGCTATCATCGAGCAAATTTGGAGACCCGATCCGTATATCGTCAACTCAAAACACTCGTATTTTCATTATGTATCATTTCCAAATATTCGAATGAGAATCACACCGGAAGGTTTGGTGACGTATACTGTCAGGTATAATCCGATTAACTAAACTATTGGATACTTTTTGTTTTGCAGAGTATCGTCAATATGTTCTTGTTTCATGTCATTCTGTTTATACCCGCACGACAGACAGGAATGTGATTTGAGAATTGCGTCGAGTGAGTTTTTCGGGGTTTTGGGTCACAACAAGATATTTTGCATTGCAGTTGCCTACTCAAACCAATATGTAAAATTTCACTGGCACTCCAATCCAATCAGATTCCAATCGAAAATCACCTTACCTGAATTGCACATCACGAAAATTAAAACTGGAGAATGTTCTCTCAGAAACAAGTTAGGTAAGTTTTCAGAAGAACAAACAGAAAATGCGTTCTAGGCTATTTTATCCATGGTGACATAACTTTTGCAAGCTGAGTTTTCTTAGCCACACTGGTAAATAGTTATATCAGGTGTATTTTTGACTATTTCTGGGCCATCAACAACGATGGCCTAGCAAAATCATGTTGAGAAAGTTAGGCCATTCAGTACACTCAAGATCCATTTAAAAAAATTTCAGTTGACGCATCCTGTCTCAAAATCTTGTTTTCTTTGGAACGAGATAGTGCACGATTTGTGATTGAAAAATATGTGCCATCTACTTTGGCAATGATGTTCGCGTGGGTGGCTCCATATGTACCCTATAACTATGAAGACGTCAGAATTATTACACCAATTACGGTAAGACATTTTGATTGGAAAATGAGATGCGTATTTCTGAATATCTTCAAATATCGAAAAATCCCTGACCGTCAATGAGAAACGTATCGCCTGAAGGTGTCTTCGAAAATTCCAGAAAGTTAAATTTGCACAATTCTATATTCAGGTGCTCCTTACCCTGGTTCAAATGGAAAAAGGAGACAAAGAGATCAGAACATCCTACCTGACATCCATTGACGTCTGGTTTGCAGCCATGAAATCCTTCACCGTACTCTCACTTTTGGAATCATTAGTAGTTTTGGCTCTGATCAAAAGAAGTCGAGCAATGACAAAAAATGCGGAAAGAGCTGCAAATGAATTTGAAAGATGCACGTTTGAAGCAGAAGCATATCGATTGAATCGACTGTATCATCGAGTGGATTCAATTTGTAGATTCTCATCTCCTGTGGTTTTTGTTGCGTTCTTTGTTTATTATGTACTGTTTATAGCTCAAGGAAATGAGAACTGTGTTCAGATATAAACAATTTTTTTATTTGAAATTCTTTATAGCATTTTGAGGAGACAGTAGAGGAGCAGCAGAACAACTATGGAATAAAAAAAGAAAGATCACAAATCATCACAAATGAAAAAGTTTTGAACTTGCCGAAAAACCACACAGAGACCTAAGAGTGAAACATTGATGTCATTCAAAAATTTTCGTTCACTCTCAAATATACTGAAACTATAAAATTGATACAACATGTTTTAGTTATTGAGGATATAAGTCGAAACTTTGTTAGTCGCTGCTTTGAAAATCAATCGACCGTAAACACTCTAGAAGATCCATATATCTCGGTTGCTGTGAAAGATATCAATATGTGATCAGCTAACAAAACATTTTTGAGATTATGATAAACATTTTGTCGAGTTGACCATTTTTTAATATCTTTTACGGGAGGCGAGATATATGGGCTCAAAGTTGGCGGTTTGGGTGGGCTTCTATTAGAAGAAATAAAGTATTTTCTAGTTCGTGAATCGAAATCGTGTTTTTTTCGAAAAGAAGATCTAAAACTCAGTAGAAGAAACATACCATTTGCTCATGTTTTGACATGATTAACCACATACAATTTCATCCCGGAACTATTTTTTCACGGAACAATTTTTAATCTCGGAACTTTAACTTGCTCATATAAACTGTATATAACTGCACATCTGTCAGCATCCCTCCTTTCTCCCTCAGTTTTTACAAAGCCAAAGTGCAAGATTCTTTTTCGATTGCCTTCAATTTACAGCCAACGTTCTCGCCACTGTCAATCTTTTTGTTTTTCATTCCCATATCTTTTTTTTTTCATACACTGTTCATGTTTTGTTACAGTTATTTTTCTGAAAGCCTTTGCTCTCTGGTCTTTGGAAAAAAGGAAAACATTTTTTCTGGTTTTTTCATAGCTCAGATTTGCATTTGAATTGAATTTTGATATAAAGAAAGGTTTGAGTTTTCGATCTTTCCTGAAAAAAGGATGTCTGAAAGTCTTTCATACTGTAGTTTTTCTTTGTGAACCAGGATTTCGGTTTCGGCCAATTTGAGGGGAACACATTGCAGACGTGAGCTGAGTAATGACTCCTCCAAAAGTTACATAACTCACTATAAGAAAAATTGATCAAATTTTAAATTTCTCTAATAAAGACATATTTCAGTTCTCTTTGAAACCTATATAATTTGCTTGATGATATTATCGCTGAAAATCACTCTGCGTCTCCACCGTTTGCGTGTTCCCTCTTTTCTCCGCTTCGAGATATCCTCGTTTTCTTCTCCATTTTCCGAACTCCGAGGTCATAAATGGATTTCTGAAAAACAAAGCCTGGAAAACGGTTTTCCGGAAAACAACATTTTTGCATACGGTAATTGCAATTCTGTCTGTCTTCCATTCGCATTTTTATCAAGAAAAGTGTGCCTCTTGTTCAACCCCAATTATATTACTATTTGCCGGCATATTTGCTCCACACAAAGAAAAGAAAAGAAAACGAGAAGGGCGCATTTTTGAAGTCTAGAAATTTTTGAGTGACCGTTTTTTTTGAAAAGCTATAAAGGATTTATGCGTAGCCGAGGCAACACACTGCTCGTAATTTTAAACATGATCTTGTCTATTTTTCTAGGCCCTTTTTACTTCTTAAGATTTTGTGTCATCAATTTGTGCGAATAATCGCATAATTGAATAAAACTTCTGAAAAGATTCAAGAAGCTTTTGAGAGCCTCCAGAGGCTTTTAGATTTTCTAAAAAGCATCTGAAAGCTTCTGGGGCTTCTAGATCTTCACGATACCACACTACACACAAAAATATACGTTCCGAGGCGTTGCGAACCGGTGCCAAAAGATCGCTGATCTTGCGATTGATCCGTGTTGAATTGGGTGTAAGACATCTTCAAAAGCGAGATTTTGAAATTCTCTTATCGGTCATAGCACATCGCAAATTTCGGAGAAATTCTAAGCTATGTGCAGGTTGGAAACTTCTCGGAATGTTTTTTTTTGTTTGTATGTGTACTGCTGTAACTGTAAGATCTCGAATTTTCCATGAATATAATTATAATCTGCAAATTCATATATGAATATATGAATATATGAATATATGAATATATGAATATATGAATATATGAATATATGAATATAATATATATGAATATATGAATGTACAGTTAGCAAGTACAGTTATATAATGTTGTTTTTTTTTCATATTGTTCTGGCTCCCCAATCATTCTGTTACCGTATTTGGTCTAATAGGTGTCAGTAATTATGACCTCAATTATCTCGATTCCTTTGCAAGATATCAAAAATCTGTCAACTGATAAAATGTTAGAGTTATTATGATTGACAATTTATTAGTTTACAACATTTTGATAGCTTTCACAGAGATCGAGATAATTCAACTCAAAGTTGGCGGGAGAGAAAATACAGTAAAGATACCTGTTTTTCTACGCTTTCCTACTTTTTTCCAGCTCTTGCCACGTTTTTTTTTCTTTTTACACGTTTCCTGATATTTTTTTTCTTCTTTCGCCTCATTTTTTGGTGGGAATACATTTTTCAGTCGATTTATTCAAATGAAACGGGATGACCTACAAGGTATTCGAGGTTTGGCGATCGGCGCTGTTTTAGCCTTCCACTTCTTTCCGAAATGGTTTCCGAACGGGTATATTGGTGTCGATATGTAGGTTTTTTTGAGGAACTTGAAGCATTTTACAAATTTTTTTTCAGGTTTTTCGTACTATCTGGGTTTCTCATGACAATGATTTTTGGATCAAAACCAATCACTACAGATTCAGTTTACCTATTTTATTTCCGCAGAACCAAACGAATTTTGCCACTTTATTTGTTGATCATTCTTATAGGTGGGTGACCTTTTTAGTAAAAATTTTCGGAATTATTTTCAGGAACCATCTTGGTATTTATAGTTTTTCCCAACACTTTCATCTCGATGAATATGGATTCGGCTTGGAATTCAATATTCCTCTATCATAATATGGCCGAGCATTCTGATAACAATATGTACTTCAAAATGGTAGGTCGAAACTTTAAATTGGAAAAAAATGGAAATTATTATTCCAGCTAAATCAAGCAGAGGATATATTCACCCATACATGGTCTCTGTGTGTAGAAATGCAATTCTACTTACTTGCTCCGTTCATATTTTTACTATTATCGTTTTGTACGAGTGGATTGATGCTAACTTGTTTCCATGCGATCATCATTTTTACTTCGTTAGGAAACCATTTATTGTCGACGGAACAGGTGGCGTTTAACAGGTGAGTAGGGATTTGTACATTATTCTGGTGCGAGAAAATCGGAGCTGTGGAAGAGAAATACGGCTGAAAGCTACCGTTATCTAAAAATATATTTATTTTCAAGATTTATTTTTTGGTTTTTCTCATAAAATAAACATTTTTAATAGGGAAACAATTGAACTAAAACATACGGAAATCGAGAAAATAAAAACGGAGAATAAAAATATTTTTTAGGTTACGGTCGTTTTCGTTGTGGGACCTTTAATACTATTTATTTTATTTTCAGTGCTTTCTGTCGAGTCTGGCAGTTTCTCATCGGCTCTGCTGTCTTTTTCCTTTCCGCCGAGCTTCTGGAACTAGACACTAAAGTTAACAACTACAAGGAACTGCTTCTAGAAGAACAAGGATCAGATGAAGAAAAGGATAAAAAAGAGGATAACGATGATGATGACGATGAAGTGATATTCACAAAGCCCCGTCAAAATTTGAGCCGTCCTCCATTCTATATTCTACTCTACTCATCACTATCTTTTCTCATCCTACTATCATTTGCCCCGTGGACAATACCCGCTTCTGCACTTCGAATTGTAAAACATTTTGAACTTTAATGTCTTATCAGTTGAAGTTGTTTTCAGACGAGCACATTCCTATCGGGAGTTATTATTTTGACAGGGACGCTGTGTGAGACGAATCCTATGAAAAATCGGTTGGTCGGGATTTAAAGGATACTGAAATAAGTACGAATTCCAGAGTACTGGTATACATCGGTGACATCTCGTATAGTCTTTATTTGGTTCATTGGCCAATCTATGTCTACGTCAAACATTACCACGATGGAGTGTTTTTCGGTGCGCTACATATTTTTGAAATAATTTCCAAAAACACAAACTTTCAGTCTACCTTCTTGGAATCGCCATTTCGATTCTTCTGGCTATTTTGATATCAGAAACATTTGAAAAATGGTACCTGAAAATTGGCAAACAAGAGACCCTCTTCATGATTCTCATATTCTACATTTCTATCGTTTGGACAGTTATGAAGAAGGATCAAATTGCAACTTTTGTGGACGATTTCAAATATGGACATGAGGAAAAAATGATGGGCATAGTGCATAGTTCTTTTGAGAATATCACACTTGGTGGGATTTTGGATACATGTTAGCAATTCAAAATTTACAAATTTCCAGACCAAGCGATTCTATTGAACAAGAAATGGGCCAGAGAGGAGTACAAAAATCTGGTGATACCGAATTGTTTCCCAAATAAAACCGAACATGGATTTTGTGAATTCGATAGAAGCAATCTGACAGGAGATATGACAGTTTTTATGGTTGGAAATAGTTTGACTGCGAATCTAGGATCTCTGGTGTACAAGACATTCAAAAATCATGCAAAGGCAATGTACAAGTACAGTAATTCTTGTGAGTATTTTTTTTTGCAATCCTCTGGGAAAATCACAGTGATACCTGTAATATATGAGCCCCACACTCTCAAGCTTGAGGTCTTATATTTCATTTTCTGGTAAATATATCAAAGATACGTCAACTGACAAAATGTTTTTGATGTTATGGTAAACAATCTGTCAGTTGACATCGTTTTCATATGTATCTTTTACAGAAAACGATATATGTGCTCAAAGTTAAGGCTCTTCTATACCAGATTTTACGGTATATTTTTCAGACTGTGAAATTCTGACGGTCTCGAATAGGAAAAGGTGTCAGAATTCTCATGACACTTATGAAGCAGAAGTTTTCAAAAAACTACCGGATGTGTTATTCATGTTGGATCGGTGAGTTTGTGGATATCTGGATGTACAGACACACAATTAAATTTTCAGACCTGACAAACTTCGACGACCCATAACCGGAGACGTTGAGAATGATGACATTTTCAAGGAAGCTCTAGCAACATTGAGACAGTATGAGAACAATGTGAAGAAGAAGATTTATATGCTGGAATCATACACACCACCTACAAATCTACCGCTCTCGAAGTTTGCAAAAATGTTGGAGAAGGGGGATAATGTTTCGCAGGTTTTCCGTAAAATCTGAATTCAAAGATTCTACCAGTTTTTCAGAAACTATTCAAAATTGACCACACTTATTTGAATGGCATGCAACGGCAAGAAGCATTGGTTAAGAAGTGCTCAAAGTGTGAACTCATACGAATATCGGATATTCTTTTCAACGGAACTCAAACTAACAGCTATGATGAGGACACGAAACTGGGTTATTATTACGACGGACTACATATTACACCATTTGCTCAGAACTTGATTCTACCGCTGTTTCAAAACATATCCGACAATTTTCATTGATTTTTGTTGTATTAGGGAATTCCGTTATTATTTTTCGGGTATATTTAATTTTTCTTGCATTTTGCTGTTTGTTTCTTTTTCGGTTCTCATAAGCTTTTAATTGTATAAACTAATTTATTAATACTAATTAGGTCTAATAAAAATGTGTTTCACCTTCGAAGACTCCTATAAATAGATGATTCGGATGATTCAGATAATGATTGAAAATTAATTTATAATCGGAAGGATTGATGCATTTCAAGATAAAAAAGCAATTTTAAGGTTTTCAAATAGGCCTTTTCTGATAGAACACATTATGAAACTCGAAAACTTCGAAACAATTTTTTTTTAATTTTTCGAAAAAAAAACAATTTTTAGATTTTTTTTTCAGATTTTGGAATGTGTTCTATCAGAAAAATCATATTTGAAAACCTTATTGCTTTCGTAATCTGAAGTTAACACATTCTTCTGTATTACCATAATTTCGAAATGACCGATTTCGAAATGACTGGTTTCGAAGTGTGGCAGTTTCGAAGTGACATGGAGACAAAAATAAATATTTTGGGTATGCAGTTATTTATCAAAATTAAACCAGCATTCAAATATGCAACAGTTATGATAAATATTTTAACAGTTGACCAATTTTTCAATATCCTTTGAAAGAATCGAGATAATTGATCTCAAAGTTGACGGGCCAAAGAGGAAATATGAAATTTTAATTATTTATAATAGAATTGAAAATTGACCACCTCTCATTCCTCCGGGCCGGGCCTTGGAAAAACTTGTCCCGGCCCGGCCAGTTGGCGCCAGCTTCAATTTTTTGGCAAACAAGTGTTTTTTTTTTGGAAAAAGGTTGTTTTTATCATCTAATTTCAAGCTAAATTGTGAATATTGAATTTGTAAATGTTTAAACAAATTTTTGAAAAATAATTTTTTTTCCCTGAATTTTTCCAAAGTTGAGATCGAAGAAAAAATAGCATTTTTGAAGCAAAATAACATTTTTTTTCTCAAAAACTAGTTTTTTTTGTTTAAAAATTCTCAAAAACTTATCAAAAAATTTTTTTTTGAGAAATTTCGACCAGTGCACACTGCAGTGTCGCTTTTTCAACCGCAATTCTATTATTACTTGCCGTCTTTTTTGCTCTCCACCCGGAATCCGAAAAGGCGTAGTCTAGGAAGAAAAAAAAATAAAAAGTAAATTTTTGCATAATTTTCTGAACAAAATAAAACATTTGAAGTAAGAATGATCAACAAATAAAGTGGCAGGATTCGTTTGGCTCTAAAAAAATAAAATATGTAAACTGAATCAGAAGTAATAGGTTTTGATCCGAAGATCATTGTTATTAGAAATCCCGACAGTACGAAGAACCTGAAGAAACATAAAATGCTGTTCCAGTAAATTTCCGACAATTTCCATTGAAATTTTGGATTAGGGAATTCCGTTCTTATTTTTCGGGTATATTTAATTTTTCTTGCATTTTGCTGTTTGTTTTCTCTCGGGTCTTATGAGCTCTGAATTAAATAAACTCATTTAACAATACTAATTAAAGGGGGAAACTTCATTGCACCATAATTACGAAAAAAAAACTCAAAAAAAAAATCAAAAATCTCTGAAAAACATTGAAAGCAAAAAAAAATCTTTCTTCTTACTATTAACTCAAAAAAAAACGCATATAACACCGACAAAGAGAAAGAATATCACCGTGTTTTCTTTTATCAGAAGCTCACCTCTATTTGAAGTCTTTTCTCTAATAGAAGTAAACCCTGAGAAAGAGGTTGAAAAATAGAGCCCACGACTCTATTGGAGAAAATACGGTAAATAGATAAAACTGTTCATATGAAAGCACGAAAATGTTGATTCTTGTTTTTTAATAGGTCACTGAGAATTCTGATAAACCAAATAACAGAAAACTTTTGGGTATCATTTTCTATTAGCGTCCAATCTGTGTTCATATCCTCAACAAACTCCTGTGTAATCACAAATTTGAGTATGGTGGGCGTAGACCGATGAAACTCCGGCAGTCAATGTTGTGTCAGTGCTCACACTATTTACTCTAATCAGGTAATATCAACCATTATCATAATAGATAACACTTCCTCCGCTATCTCCCTTAAATATGTTTTTGAGACTTTCATCAAGGATAGGAATATCAAACCGGTCGTGTGTTGACTCCCCAAGGTTCTCCATTGATCCAAAAAGACAGACCTTCATTATAATAACCGATGATCTGAAAACCTTCACATTCGGTTACTTTGGAAAATCTTTCACCTGGAAAAATCCGCTTATCAGCATATCGGTTCCTTGATGGTCAGTGTTGCGAAAATCCCTATCTGCAATTCTCAAAACTGGAGAGATATCAGTTCAGAAAACTAACTATTATGTCCATATGAAGTAACTTTGGCTACAGTTTTTATAGCTTGAAAGTCGGAATTGTCTGAAATCAGATAAATAACTTTTAGATTGGATTTTACCAACTCTAAATGCAAGCGGGGTGGGCGTAATCATCAAATTGTATATTCTCGCTGAGTTCCCAGAGCATCATGTCATCATGCCAAAATTTTGTTTGCAAACACTCTGTAAATAAAAATTCAATTGCAGTCAAAAACTCTTACCTTGAACACTTTGCCCGAAAGTAGTCCTCCATATGAGTTTCTGACTGCGAACGAATTGTTTTCTGGATACAAAATCAAGTCGTTCCCACTGAAATTATACGCAATAATTATTAGAATAGTCTATAAAATTGATATGAATGATAGTTTTCGAATAATAAAATTATATTTTCACTGCAAATCAAATACGCACCTGCATTTTCTTCTCATTCCATTGAATCTGTGATCATATTGAGTCATATCTGACATAAGACAATGTGAAGCGCTCATAACGTGTCTTGGAGAAATTATCGTCGCAGAGCACCAATTATTAGGATACTGTATGTAAGCAGCCCATGGCGCTTCATAGCCATTAGTTGGTTGTCCACCGGCGGTTTCTTAAACGAATGTTGGTTCTCGATAATTGAATAATTACTCACTGCGGCTCTCGAATCTTCTCGGATGGTTGGTTTTGGTTCCGCAATAAGACTTCAAGCCTTGATTTTCTTGCGGATTCAAACGGTAGTCACACCTTATTCCTCCCGTGAGGAAGAATAAGAGAAGAAGAGAGCGGTTCATAGGAAAATATGAAACTGGGGATTTCAAGGAAGATGGTTTTCTTTTATAGAGAATACGTAAATCGAATCATAGTTTTATATGGGAAAGGTGAGCGTTCGTATAAGATTTTTATAGTTTTGCGAGAATTGATTTTTTTTTTCAGAATTGGAAAATGGCTCCCCGAAACAGGAGTTGTACAGTACCATAATAAAGGTTACTGAAGCGTCTGAACTGACCCAGTCATGATCTTAATAATCAATCAATCGAAAAAGCTCAAACTCATTTTTAACTTGAGTTCTTCTATATCCTGCATTCGAGAGCATTATCACTAATCAGCCAAAATGACTACTTTGTTCAACTCGAAAGCATCTTAAAACGGACTCCATTCAGGTTGATTACATCTTTTCCTGGAATGATTTTCTTCTTCTCTTTTGATGTTCGATCCGCTTCCCGAATAGTTGGTGACCGCTCATTTTCACTGTAATATTGAGAAAAGAAAATTGCTAGTAATAAATGTGGGAAAGAGAAGTCAGTATTAAGGTAGAATTTTTGAAATTTGAATTGGCCTGTTATTTTTCAGTATCGCACAACCTCATTCTGCGTTTTGATTCACAAAAAAATTGAGTTCTGCAAATTTTGTTAATAAACAAATCTGGGTTTTGTTTATAGGTACATGAAGATTAAATTTCGGTTTCCTATAAACCAACTTTTTGCAAAACCAAGCTTTATCTCCCTACGCGTTGCGTATTTGCGTCGCGGCTTCCTTCTTGATTCTTATCTTGGCACGTCGCCAAACGGTCAACACTGGCACTGTGCCAACAACTCTTTACTGTCTGTATCTCTTCTTCTATCTTCCGTCTCTCTCTTTTTTCTGTTTTCTCTCTTGTTAGCGCAGCAGTGTTCGAGAAGAAACATGAAGAAGAAGAATACGAGGTTACGATACACACACGTGATAAAAAAGTTCGTCTTCGTTTCTCTCGAGTTTTCGAATTTGGTTTTGCTGGTAGATTGCAAGTATAATTGAAGTAACAATAGCTTTCAGTTTTTTTTTTCAAATTTCAGATAATATTTTTACCTGGCAAACTTAAGAAATTACCAGACAACTCAAACTTCTAACTGATGCTCGAGACAGCTGAACCTTTGGATTTGATCTACCAATCTTAGTTTTAGCGGGAGCCAATCAAATTTAAGAGGAGAGGAACTTTTTCCTTTTTTTGGCATTTTTCTTGTCCTCTTTGTTTTAGGAAAATATCGTTGGATTTAGCATCTAAAGAGACCAAACTAAGTAATATCTCCTGAATTTTTAAATTGAGCATTTTCAGACAACTTTGAATTTTTTGAATTCTCATTTTTTCCTTTTTTCTAGAATCCGTTCTCCTTCTTCTGAATCCAAGACGATCCTTATCTTTCCATCAAACTATTTCGAACTTTCGGAATCTCCTGTTTCCAAGTCCTTCTCAAATTTGACTCTCTTCTTCATCATCTCATATTTTTCAATCCTTGGACATTCTCTCTGCTCCTCGTATCTCTCTTCTCCAAACACACATGCATTCTCATTCACACCACCAAATTAGAATGTGTCGCTCTTTTCTACTTTCTTTCTCTCCCTCTGACTCTCTTTTACCGTCTATAATCTCTTCTCATCGGGGCTCGAAAACTCATCTCTCCCTCTTTCTCTTCCTTCTTCTTCTTCCTCTTCTCTCTCTATTCCTTTTTCCTGTCCTCCCGTTTCGGTGCCGTTTGTCCTCTTCTTCTTCTTCTTCCGTACCTCCTATCCACACCATCTTCTGTCTTCTCACTCTCTCATTATTCGTTTTCCTCATTTCGTCCTTTTCCTAATATCACCTATGCCCCAAATTAGTTCGTGAGGGCGTGGCTCGTGGTCATGACAACCGTGTCTCCTATGAAGCTCCGCCCCCATTTTCTTCTTCTTACTTCGTAGTTTTCACTCTTCTCCTTTTCCTCCTTCTCCGCTTCTTCTTCTTTTTAGTTCCTCACATTGTATACATGCAGTATAACCTACTCTTTTTCATTGATTTTTTTCACACAACTTCGTTTTCAGATGGGCCCAAAGACCAAGAGAAGTGCTAAGCCATCCGAACCGGCCGTTGATGCCGTCGCAGTTGATTCTCCATCACCAGCTCCCGAGCCGGTTGAGGAGCCAGAAGTCGAGTGAGTTTGTCTAAAATTTTATCAATGTTATCATCCTTATCTTTCAGGGAACCAGTTACCGAGAAACCAGCTGCTCCATCTTCTTCTTCGTCTCCAGCCAAGAAGCAAGTCGTCGTGACCAAGTCTGGCCGCGCTGTCCGTGCTGCCAAGAAACCGTCAGGCGTCGAGTCGGACAACGAGAAGGAAGAGGATCCGGAGTACGAAGCTGACGAAGAAGATGATGACAGCGGTTCGAACTCCAAGAAGGGACGTGCTGGAAAGCGTTCCTACGATGACGACGATGACTATGGATCTGCCAAGAAGGTTGTCAAGAAGGCACCAGCAAAGAAGGCCAAGCCAACCAGAGCTTCGGCTCGCAAAACAGCTTCCAAGGCTCAAAGTGATTCGGATGATGACGAGAAGAAACAGGTAACGCATTTATGAAATCAAAAGTTGTAATTTCTAAATTATTTCAGAGTGACTCCGACGCCGAATCTTCCGACGGAGAAGCTCGCACAAAGAAGCGTGCTCTACCAAATGGCCGTACTCGCATGAGTGGAGCTCCTCCATCAGCTCGTCTTGCTGCTTCAAAGAAAAAAAACGACGATTCCGATTAACTGCTCTTCAAGATCTCCTTTTTTCCCAGTATGAAAGCCACAACTCTTGTATCTCTTCCTCATCCTATCAGAAATCAATATCAAAGAAATTCAAATTCTTATATCCAATTGAGCAGTCTAGATATTACCAACTTTTATTTCCTAGATTTGATTTGGTGTAAAAACTGTCTTTCTTTTCTTTCATTCCCTCATTTGTCCCCAAATCCGGCTAAACGCCCATGACCCATCTGATCTAGAATTTTCTTTGAAATTCCAGAATCTTGAGAATTAATAAAGTTCACTAATCAAAGTCGATTAATTTAAAAAGTTCATAAAATACCGAATGAGAGAAGTTAAAGCGATTTGCAAATTTATAACAAAACAAAAAACCGTTATTAAATAGCGGGGCATCCATGACGATTGACATCTCCGTAGACATCGAATCTCTCGGTGTTGATCTCCTTCTTACGACGAAGCATCTTACGATCCTTCTTCAATCCGAAACTAATAAATCTGATACATCCGACAAATGGCTTATCAGTGGTGATTCCCTTATTCTTTGTGATTCCTTCTGGAAGACCTCCGAAGTAAAGAGGATCTTTCGTAAGAACCTCTTCCTTCGCCTTCTTCATCATTCTGATTTGTGCCTTTCCGTTCACAGTGACAGTGAGCAAGTTCTTCTTCTTGGCAATCTGAAATTTCGATTTAAAAAAATTAGCAATGATTTTCAATTGGTTTACCTTGAATGATTGCCATTGTCCATCACAATACTCATTCTCGTTGGTTGGATGATGCCAAAGATCCTCCATTCCACTGGCACTTCCGACTGTAGTCTTAATGGATCCGTTCACGAATTCCACTGCAACATAATCCAAAACTCCGACAGAGAACAAGACTCCGTTCTTCATTCTTGGTCTAATCTCGACTTCCAACCCGAATGAATGTCCGACTTCATAATCCTTTTGAACAATTGCATATCCTCCATCCTTTCCGAAGTACATTCCAGGTTCACTGAACTGAGAGCACTGCTCGGTACCGAATTCTTTTCCGTTATTCAGACTCTTTCCATTCAATCTGAAGTCCTTGATACATCCACTGAATTGAGATCGGGTTCCTGGAACCAAACTGCGCACGACGCTGGCAAAATCAGATGGGACTCCTCCGAGGTAGAATGGAGGTTGAGTATCAATGAGATCTTCGTTCTGGTTGGCGGCTCCTTCGGATTCATACGAGTCATCGTCGACGATCAAATGAGCAGACTTTCCACGTCTCGAGACCTTGATCGAATGCCAACGTCCGTCGATGATAGACTTGTCGGATTTAATGACAACCTTTCCGGATCCAGTGTCATAGGTGAAGATGACACGTCCATGTTCAAGAATCACAGCGATATGATCATTGTTCTTGTTCTGCTCGGTACGCTTGTTTCCAGCTATGAACACGACTCCATTGTCAGATGTTGGACGGATCTTGAATGAGAATTCACCGCTGAAATTTTACAAATTAGAAACTGTAAAAAAAATCGTTGGTTCTCACCTCTTATCAAATGCATCTGGAAGCACGTCATATTCGATTCTGCTGTGTTGTTGGGTACCGAAATTGAATCCTTCGGCATCCTCGAATTGAACGAGAGCGTCTTCCGGAAGACTGCAGTGACCGTCTGGTCTCACCTAGAAAATAAAAGATATGTTAAGTGAATTCTAACCAGTGAATATAACTAAAGATAGGAAAGGTTAGAAATTTTGGGATGAGTATAGAACTGAGGAATTAGGACCGGGGGGTGAATAGACAGATAGAACTGAAAAAGAGTTAACAAAATGAACTGAGGATTTTCGAGTCTCACTGATAGGTCAACAGATTCAAAATGATCTGGGAAATCGAATGACGAATCTCGTTTGGAGTTCGGTGGCACGTAAATCGGCTGGTCTTTCATCTTCAAGGTTTGGGAATTATGATACAAGTTCTCTAAAGCGTGACCTAAGATTCTAAAAACGCTTACTTCTGCTGGCTCCTCAGTTGGCTCCTCAGTAGAGGTAGTAGTCGTCGTTGTGGTCTCCTCATCTTCAGAATCATCGTTTGGAAGCACGGCAATATCTGAATCAGTTGGAGCAGATGTGGTGGTGGTGGTGGTCGCGGCGACATTCTCATCATCACTCAGTGAGCATCCATTCAGAGAAATCTCCTTGATATCTGCCTTGATGAAGTCCAAAAGTTTTCCATTAAGGGTAACATCTCCGATGCATCCAACAAACGATGGGAACGCTCCAGACTTTCCGAATGAAGCGGAAAGGTAGGTGGCATCGGGATTCGATTCATCGTGCTCCTTTCTGGCGACTTCATTTGAGAATGAGTCGTCGGCGTCGATTCTGATGACGTGATCGGTCTTTCTGATGGATACATAGTGCCACCTCTCATCTGGAGAGGCAGCCAATTCAAGTGTTGCCACATCGTTTCCACTGGTGACAGTCAGAATACCATCTTCGTTGATGGTAGCGCTGAGAACTGAGTCTTCGTCATCGGTGACAGTAAAGACTGAAGATGGTTGACGGATGGATCTGGTCTTGAACTTGAAGGTCACAGAAACATCCCCTGAGAATTCAGTGGCATTGCTGAACTCGGCAGTGGTTCTGTCGGACAAGAAAGACACAGTACGGACGGTGTGGAGTGGACATCCAGATCTGACTCCCTTCGAAGCATGACTGTTCTCTAAATCAACTTCATCTGATCCCAATTTCACTTGTTTGATGCATCCACGAAGTGGGACCATTGTTGTTCTAACTGGTAATCCGGATGGTGTACCTCCAATGTAGAGGAATTCGGTGACAGACATTTCGGAATCCTTTCCTGGGACATCTCCTTCAACGACTTCCTCGTCGACAGTGATTTTGACGTGTTTCTGAAAAAAAAGTGCCGTTTTGTATACTGTAGTGAGTATGATCTCTGATGGGTGTTTGTTAAATATGGCGTTGGTAATTAGCAGCTAATGAGATGGTGCAAAGGGGGAGAGAAGGTGCACATTAAAATTGGAAGAAAATAAAGCCGCTTATAAGATGAATTATAAGGTGAGGACTGTGACTATAGCCAAAACAAATTAACTCACCTCCTCTCTAACAATCGACACGGTATGCCATTTTCCATCGTTGTAGTTCGAGTTCTCAGTCATGAACTGTTCGGTTCCGGATCCCAAATCCACGGATAACTTGATCAAACCATCAAAGAGTTCAAGAGACATGAAATCTCTATCCTTTCCGACAAAGAACAACAATCCTTGTGGAGAGAATGTCAAGAAGGAGAGCGAGATCTTGGTGGCCTTTCTTGGATTCCAGTGACTTGGTTTATAGGATGTATAACCTTCTCCGTCCAAAGAAATCACGAGCTCATCGGCGTTATCAGTCATCTTTGGCTTCTTCTGGGCTCCACCAACATTCACATTTCCCTTTTCTTTGGTGTTCCAGAGTCCGATTGGCTCTCCATGAAGCTTCAAAAGCTCAATGTCTCCAACGAAATCACGGTTGTACAAGTCCTTGGAGATCTGAAAAAGAGAACGCGATTGTTAATAAATGTGCAAAAAAACCACTTACTCTTGCCGTAGTTGGAATTCCTCCAATGAAAAGCTTCGAAATCTGTTGATTCAAATTGAGCACACTCTTATTTCCTCCGGCAACTGAGCTCTTCGTTTCTGCAGTTTCAACACTGTTTGGCTTGGATAGTGTCGCATTCACAGTCTTTCCGATTCTCTCAATATTCAATCTTCTCCACAATCCATCGTTAACCAGAGTCTCCAATTTAACAACAGCTGGAGCATCTCCCAAATCTACAGTAATCTTCAGGCGACCGTATTCGATTTCAGCAGCGACATAATCGGCAGTTGGCACCGCACGACTTCCGACAGCAGTTTCCTCGTTTCCGAAGAAGAATGGAATTCCGTGTTGTTCTTCGGTACGGAAATAGAATGAGATGTCAGCATGGGCGGCGGATCGAGTAACTCTTTGTGGGATGTTGAGGTCGAGAGATGATCCACGATTGAAGTGGGCTCCAAGCTTGATCTTGTTAGCAGCATTTCTGGCGGCAGCAATCATTTCCTTGATCTCGGAAACCTTTCCAGTGATCGAGTCAACCTTTCCACTTCTGACAGCTGACAATTTTTTGAGTTCTTCGAATTTGGAGGCAACAACTGGAGCGAGACTTTGAAGCTGAACAGCGTTTCTTCTGGCAAGTCTGATTCCTTCCATAGCACTGTTAGCCTTCTCTGTGATTTCTTCTGCCTTTCCAGCAATCTCCGAAATCTTGGCACGCGTTTCTTCGATATTTGCATCAATTGCAGCTTTGATTTCGTGAATCTCCTTGGCCTTATTATCAAGGCCGCCCAACAAGGTTCTGTCGTAGTTTGGAATTCTATTCTTCACAGCGTCCTTTCTCTTTCTCAACTTTTCAGCCATCTCAGTAAGCTGTTCAAGCTGTTTCTTCAACTTTTCAGCTTCCTTCACGTCGTGAGCAAGATTCTTCGAAAATTCGGCAATCTTATCCTTCATATCAGCTGGAATTGGCTTATCCTTCGCGTTCTGAACAGCTTCAGCGTACTGAGTTTCGTCTTCCAGAAGTACAATGGCCCTATCAATCTTTTCCTTGGCGTCCAATAAAGTTTCAGCAATTTTGGAATAAGCGTTTGCAGCTTCCACAGCACGATCAGAGTCGGCTTTGTTGTTGTCGAATGCTTGTCTCAGTGATATAGCTTGAAGACGCATTTCCTCAGCCTTAGCATTAATCAACTCCATATCAACTAATGGCTTCTCCTCTCTTCTAACTCTCTTCTTTGCGGCTTCCACGGCTTCAGCAATATCGTTTCTAGTTTCATTCAGGCTGTTGACAGACTGAGAAAGAGCTTCACGGTTGTCCTTGATACTTTCGGTAATGTTTCCGATGGCAATGTTGATCTTTTGGAACTCTCCCTTAACTGTTTCCACCCGTTCAAGATCATCAGAAATAGCAGCGACGAGGTTTTGGACTTTAGCAAGTTGAAGCATCTTTGCGACCTAAAAACTCGGATAAATAAAAAAATTAAAACATCCAGTCAACTTGTACTCACGTTATTAGCCTTATCAGTCTTGGACTTTGACTCCTTGAGCAACTGTTGAGCACTGTTCAAATACGCAGCCAACTCCTCAGCCTTCTTCTTTTGGGACTCGAATGACTCCTTTTGCTTCTCCAACTTATCAGTCTCCACTTGAATCTTATCCTGAATCTCCTTCAGTTTTCCTGGAACACTTTGAGCCTTCTCCGGGTATGGATCAGCTGAAGTGGTTTCCAAAGACATCAGAGTCTCTTCGGCTTCTCTCAAAAGTCTTGGATCCACGTTGACGGCCTTGGAAGAGGATCCGATAGCAAGGGCGATTTCGGCGAGACTGCGAACACTTTGACGAGCTCTTTGAGCTTTTTTCATCACATCATTCAAGAATTCAGTTCCGTTGACAGTCAAACTCTTGGAGGCGATGGCAGAGTTGTTGGAGTGATTCTTGGTTCTGACGAGTTTGTGGAGAATTTGAGTGGAGTTGGTAAGGATGTCAGAAGCATCACCGAAGAAGTTTCCAAACGAGTTCTCCTCATCGTTGAGCATCTTAGTGATTTCGCTGATATCGTTGAACTCCTTCTTGTTTCTTGCGAGTCTAGCTCCAACGATAGTTGCAGATGAGATGTTGGCGATGGCAGTTCCCAGAACATCAATCTCCAATTCCAAGTTATCGACATCTCCAATCAAATGGTGCACGCATTCATCACATCTTCTGCATCCATGAGTCGGAATTCTGAGGTAAGATGGAAGGCATTGATCACATCTGGATCCGGTGGCTCCTTCTTGGCAGTGGCATTGTCCAGTTCTCACATCGCAAACCGTACCCATAGAAAGATCCGATTCACAGTCACACTTGTCACATCCGTGCTCTCCATAGTTCCAGTAGCCATGCTCACACTGTTCACATCTCATTCCAGAAGCTCCTGGACGGCAAGTACATTGTCCATTCTCCACGTTACATTGAGTATTGAAAGCGGCTGTTCCGCAGTGACAAGCCTGGCATCCTTGACATTTCGAGAATCCCCAATGATCTGGTTTACATCTATCACAGGAATCTCCTTCAACGTTGGTCTTGCATTCACAACCTCCACTTCTGTTATCACAGTATTGGGATCCACATTGGTCACATTCACAGGAAGAGCAGTTTTTAGCAGATACAGCATCTCCGTAGAACCATTGAGCACACCATTCACAGTGTCTTCCATCGGTATTCTGTTCGCAAAGATAACAGTCTCCACTGACTGGATGGCAGGCACGAGAGTCAGTCAAATTGTTGTTGCCATTACATTGACATGGTTCACAGGATCCTCCGACTTGTTGTGGTTGTCCAAAGTATCCGGCATCACATCGATCACATCTGTCTCCAGTATACCCTGGTTTGCAATTACATTGAAGAAGTTGTCCTTCTTCTGACACATCGCAGGATTTCGCAAAGTTGTTGGATGGAGCAAATGGACAGGCACAGGCCATACAATCGTATGGAGATCCATTGGTAGCATTTCCGTAATGTCCTTCGTCACAGAACTCGCAATGATCTCCATGAGTATTGTGTTCGCAATCAGTACAGATTCCTGTATCTGGGTCACAAGTGGCAGAATGTCCGTTGCATTCACATGGTACGCAAGCTCCCAAGAAGCTTCCCGAAGACACACGATGGTATCCAGAGGCACAGAGCTGGCAGGATGGTCCAGTGTATGGTGCTGGGCATTGACACTGCTCAACAGAAGAAGCCTTGATCACAGAGTCAGCTCCATTCGGTTCAGAGATTTCGAGTCCGAATTCGTAGAGGGTGCTGGTCTTTGGATGATCAAAGTATGAAGCCTTCAAGGTAATATTTTGAAGAGAGTGGAGGACCTTCATCAGTTCTTCTCTAGTGACAGGCTTTCCTTCAGTCGTTAGGAAGTTCTCTGGAACAAGTTTGCACTTGACAGTGAATTGCTCTTCCGGATTAGTTGGTTGTTCGGTGGCCCAGTGTTCAATAGTCATGTTGGCTCCAGTGAGACGGATATCAGCGTCACTGTTCATCTTCTTCTTTCCGACACGTGGCACTGCGGACAGCTTGAAAGTGAGCTTGAGTCCGTAGCTGGTGGTGTAATCGTTGGTGACAATTGGAACAATGAAGTAAACAGAGTTTGGTGATGTCTCTTCAGAAGTGTAAAGTACGGTATCATCCTTGTTGTCAACCATTCCACTGTCATCGGTGGTTAGGAAAGAAGACATGTCGACGGACATCTAAAACATGCAAGAATTTTAAAGACAGAAGTTCATTATTTTCAACTTACGGTGGTCACTGGGAACATGCTGGATCTACAACTGTCAGTCACTCCAAAGCAGAAGCAGTTGACACATCCTAATGGATTTTCAGCGGACAAATCGAAAGTTCCAGCTTTGCAAGCCTCACATCTTGCTCCGTAAACGTTTTCCTTACACTTGCACTGAGCATTCGTCGCGTCACAAATCTCTTCAGTAGTTCCATCTCTATTACAAGAGCATCCGTAGCAATGTGGGAATCCGTAGAATCCAGCCAAGCAACGATCACACTGACGTCCTCCCATTGATTCACGGCACAAGCATTGCCCAGATTCTGGGTCACAAACGAGGTTTCCTCCTTCGGATCCTTGTGGATGACATCCACACTTTTGGCATCCGATGAGTGGATCGTATCCGAAAGCGTTGCTGACACATCTGTCACAGGATTGTCCTTCGACGTGTGGCGGGCAGAAGCATTGGCCGGTTCGTTCGTCACATTGTTGACCAGCGTTGCAAGAACATTCTGCAAATTTAATCAAGTTAGATGTATCTCTATATAGGGAAGGTGAAATTTAAGTAAAAGGTAAAAATTGAATTTGTGTTGCCTCCAAAAGAAATCGGCAAACACCAACACTGAAAAATGAACTCACTGATGCATTCTGGGAAGTTGTAGTATCCTGGTGCACAGCGTTCACATCTTCTTCCAATCACATTCGGCTTACACTTGCACTGTCCTCCATACTCCTCACATTGGAACGATTCGGATCCTTGAGCTACACAATCACAAGACAATGCTGCGGAGTTGAAGTCGGTGGTCAATGAGAAGATTTTCTGTTTGCAGAAGTCACTGACAGATTCTGGATGGTTTCGAAGATTCTCTTCAAAACACTCCTTCAAGAACTCGTTGGAAAGATCCAAGGCCAATGGCTCCATGAGCTTATCCTTGAACGAGTTGTATGGGACGGCAGTGATGGAGTCGATGTAGATTGGTCCCTTTTGGCTGGCATTGTGGTAGAAAGTGGCAGTGTATTTGTCATCCATGAAGAATTGAATTACATCTGGACGTTCCTTGTCACGGATCAGAGCACGGCATCCACTGATCGATGGGCAGAAGGCAAGTGGAACAGTGGCTGAAAATATAAAGTTGCGAAGAGAGAAGTGGGCATGGGGTTAGTGCAAAAACAACAGACGATGGACGGACAAGTAAACGAACAGAGAACGGATCAATGGCAGAAATAATAAATCTAGTAGAGTATATTAGTCAAAGCCATTAGAATCTATGTTGTTTATGCAAAATGATACTACTAACTATAAACTATAAACCACAAACTACAAATCACTCTACGAACCGTTGAAGAGGAATCTGGACGAGTATTTGTTGTCTGAAATGGGAGAATAGAGGTATACCGGGATGCACGGACAGGGGAAGTGCAGAGTGCAAAAGTGATTTTTGAAAAAATTTTCAAAATAGGTGCAAAGTGCAAATTTTAAAAAAGTGCAAAAGAATTTTCTTGAAATTTTCGGGGGAAGAGAAGTGCGAAGAAAAAACAAACAACATGCGAACGAGTTGCACGAGTCACCCTGGAAATAGTGTTCGTTTTGGAGCAGAACATCAATGTCGATTGGCGTGTTATCCGGATTGAAGTAGTGAACCAAGAACATGTAGTGACCACGGGTTGGGACTACTCCCGAGATTTCGATTGTGGCCTAGAAAAAAGGATTAAGCCTCATAGGCCTCTGATCTGCTTACCTGAGCATCATCCAGTGGGACTACTCTCATCTCCTTTGAGTTGGAAACTGGGAATGGAAGTTTGTCTCCAAGGATTGACTTCTCCATGTTGGATCCAGATTCGGCTTCAGTTACGACAGACTCAGATGCTGGTGGGTAGCTCTGTGGAACGCATCGTCCATCCTTTCGGATACAGACTGGGACCTGAAAAATCGTATTTTTGAAACTGCCATTTTGAGTATTGTGAGCTTACCTGTTGCAAGTACTCCGAACTAAAATCCTCCTTCTTGATCAAGTGAACAGCAGCTAATCCAAACTCATGATTTGGTTTGATGTTCAATCTTACAGTAGCCTCTCCCTTCTCGAGTGGAATGAATGGAATGGTACCTTCAGAAGAGACGAGTTCTCTGCAGAAAGTGGCGTATGGGCAGTGATGGATCACCACATTTCCATTCATCACATCCTTATATCCTTGGCTAACTCCAACACCAACATTTCCATCGGTTTCTTCTCTGTTATGATACTCAATAACCACAACATATTCTCCAGTTTCTGGAACATCCAACTTGGCTTCCACGGTTCTTGGATTCTCATCAGCTCTGATGAATCCAGCTGGTCCAGTGATTTCCGATGGAAGAATCTCAACTGGAACCAACTCCAAAGGAGTCAAAGATCCATCTTCATTGACATAGTTGAATGGAACCTTCTCCATATCTACAAAGACACGAGAGCTGGCTGGAATTGGTGGGTAGATCAAATCTACACAAGTGGTATTCTTCGTGCTATGAGAGAGACATGGTTGTGGAGCACGTTGTCTCAGAGCGGATCCTTCGTAATACTCAGCTGGAAGAACAACGACATAATCCAAAAAGAGTCTTTGCTTGGTGGAAATCGCAAGCGACCACTTTCCAGGGTTCAACACGAATGGCTTTCCATCTACAGTAATCTCCTTCATGGCTGGCGAATCTCCAGGTGCAAATGTGGCCTTTCCAGATTGCTCAACATCATGGGTATGGGTGAATCTTGGAGCGACAGATACGGTAGCAGTGATTGGAACTGGTGTTGGATTACGGTAACGGAAGAGGAGACGATAGACACTAGCCTTGGCGATGTCCACGTCGATGAGGATCTTCTCTTGAATTGGTGAGAAGACTGCATATCCTCTCCATGAGAAGTTAGAAAATTGTTCTGGATCCACAGCGAATCTGACAGGTCTCTGATCTTCGGTGTGAGCGTCTTCTGCTTCGTATTGGTTGTGCCAGAGCGTTGGGAAGTAGTGATTTTCAATTGGACGGTCGCATCGGAGTCCAGTGACTCTTGGACGGCACTTACATTGTCCCGAGTTAATATCGCATTCAGCTCTGAGAGCTCCTCCGATGTCACAGTGACAAGATTCACAACCAAGTTGATTGTAGCTGTTGAGTCTGTAGAATCCTTCAGCGCACTGATCGCAAGTTCTTCCAGCAGCGTTCTTCTTACACATACATTGTCCGGATTTCAAGTCACAGGTGTTCAATCCAGAGATGGTTCCATTAGTATTACACTCGCAGCTTCTGCATCCGTCTTCATGGTGGTATTGGAGATCCCAGAAAGTTGGCTTACATTGGTCACAGATTCTTCCAGTGACGTGTTTTCTGCAAGAGCAAAGTTCTCCTGGTGAAACCTTGTCACATCCTTGGAAGTCACGTGTCACTCCAGATGGATTGCAGTTGCATTCTTCGCAAATTGGGAAGTTGTAGAAGTTTGGCTTGCATCGATCACATCGTTCTCCTTCGAAATTTCCCTTGCAGTAGCATTGACCCTGGTTGTCGCAGGTCTGTCCCTTGGCTCCAGCTACTAGACACTCGCATCCACGACAGTCTGGATAGTTGTAGAATCCGGCGGCGCACTTATCACAAGTTCTTCCAGTGAAATTTCCGTTACATGGACACTGTCCAGAAGTGGAGTCACATTCCGGAGAAGTGATACCAGCTCCGTCACAAGCGCAAGCTTTGCAGTTCGGGTATCCGTAATAGGCAATGTCACAACGATCGCATTTGTCTCCGGCGAATCCTTCTTTGCAGAGGCATTGCCCGGTTGTTTGGTCACAGACTCCTCCTTCGGTTCCCATTGGATCACAGTTGCAGACTGAAAATATACAATAGTTTGAACAAGAGTCATAACGGTTGACACTTACATTTACAATCATCTCCAAAGTAGCCAACTTGGCACTTATCACAAGACAATCCAGCGTAAGCAGGTTTGCACTCGCACTGTCCAGTAGCAGCTGAGCAATTCGAATGTTCGGATCCAGTAGCATCACAAACACACTCGACACAACCAGCAGTCACATTGGTGAAGCCATCGGCACAAGTGTCACAGAAAGTTCCCCCAAATCCTGGCTTACATGGACATTGCCCATCTTCCGGAAGGCAAACATCTCCAACAGTTCCGTTGACGAAGCATTCACATGGTTTACACTCTGGTGGATCGTAGTATCCAAGAGCACACTGATCACAGTTCTCTCCGACGAATCTAGCCTGGCATTCACACTTTCCAGTCTCCTCGGCACACGATCCGGTGTGCTTGTCTGGGTCACAGTCGCAAGCTTTGCATGGTTGTGGCTCATCCCAAGTGACGCCTGCTGGGCGGAAATATCCATAGGAGCACTTGTTACAGTTGATTCCTTCGGTGTTGTCTCTGCAGTTGACACAGACTCCTCCTCCTTCGTAGTTTCCTTTGGAATCCATGGATTGCTTGTTAAGATCAACTTGTTCGTCATAGTAGCACTCGTTTGAACGTCCGAAGCAGTTGCAAGCTTCGCAAGTGAAGTTGTTATGGGCAGTAGCAGGTTGCCAAGCCTTTTGAACATATCCTGGACAGCATCTCTCACACATGTCTCCGCAAGTGTTGTGCTCACATCTACAGAGAAGAGACTTTGGTCTTTGAGGTTCCAGAATATCACAAGTGACGGCGTGACCGTTGCAGACGCATCTTCCTCCGATCATGATTTCCTTGATGGCGTAGAAATACTGAAAATGGTTATACTAGCAGCACATAATTTGTCATAAAAACTCACTCTTCTAGTCACTGTTGGATCTCTCCACTCATTCATCTCCATCAAATGCCCTTGAAGAGTTCTTGTTCCAAGAAGACGAAGTCTGATGTTTGTGGCTCTGGTGAAATTCTGAAGCACTTCTGACGTGGCAAACTTCAACGAACTAGGACGATGTTCCAGAATCTTGATGACCATTTCAGCATTTTCCAACGGCTGGAGAAGGGCTTGATCGGTACGGCAGGTGACTGAATCGTCTTCGGAAATCGGGGATAATGACTCCACACCGAATCGTCTCATACACTCAGCAGCGTTCTCAGCAAAATGGAACCATGGTTTGTAGGTCTGTCCATGATCCGTTGATCTCTCAAGTACCCAACTTCCCGGACGTGGACTGTTGGCCATCTGAATCCAGACGTAGGCAACATGGAATTCCTGTTCCAAATCGATGGTGATGTTGATTTCGTTGTGTTGAAGACCACGAGAGAGCGGTGGAGACATCCACCAACTGTTGTTTCCGTCGACCATGTTTGAAGCGGGGTGGGAATTCTCGTTTCCAGCGTTACAAAAACCGCAGCCATGTCCACCGAACACGCGCGCATTTTCGTTTTTGTTCCATACGATGCTTTCATCGTCATTTTGGTACGAGTAGGGGTTTACCGGGTTGTAGGCGGAGGATCCTAAAAATATGTAAAGTTAGAAGAATTCCTGTGAGACCAGAATACTTACCAGTCAAAGAGCAATAGATTTCATTCACCGGCTGTCCTTGAATCTCTCCACAAGTCGACGTGGCACGAATTGGTTTGCGATGGGAGATGGTGATTTGCGATGGAGTGAGTACTTGTGGATAAGTGAATTGTGCCAATAATGCTACTACTATAAATAGTGCCCTCGTCGCCCAAGGCGACGTATCGTAGGGGCTCATCTGAAAAATAAAGTGGTATTGATAATTGAAAGGAAAGTAACGAATAACGCGAATGCGGTGGAAGAAGACTGAGGGCATCTGGGAGGGACGGAGGACAGTTGTGTCCCTCCAGCACATTGCACATTGCCCTCCCTCTACGATCGGATTGCCAGATGCGATGGGAGGAGAAGAAAGAGAAATGAATCAATGAGTGCAGAAGAGGGGAGATATTGGTGTTGGAAGACGAAGGGAGGGCAAGGTGCCTGTTGGGGAAAAAGAAGACGAATGGTTTTTTTAGAGCCATCGATTCTGAATTGTGCTGGGCAGCTGTGTGGAGTACTAACGGAACGAAGGCTGTACTTTGGCGTAGAACATGGTTCCAAAGCGCTGGCTATGGGTCAATTGGAGCATTGCCAGAAATATTACTACAGAGAGATGGTGCAGAAAGATCTAGAACTTTTTAGAATTGTGTCCAGAATCATATCAGGCTGACTCTAACAGTTTCACAAAACCTTCAATAGCCTTGAGAAATGCTGAATTGAGAAAAACTCCTAGAACTCAAGGTCCGGACCACAAAGTGGCCAAATGCCGATAGTGGAGTTCGGATCACCGAGACACGTCGAAGGTGTTGGTCCATAAGAATGCACACCCCGCCTTCCCACAGGCAAACAAACACAACTGTTACAGAACACAGGATTAGATGACGTACTTTGATAATGGTGAGATTGACAAGTTAGTGGGTAATAGAATGGTTTGGGCATTGGTACTGGTGGGCATCTATTAGAGAATTTACGGTAGATTTGCAAAACGGTAAACAGAGGGTATGATAGATTGTTCTGAAGCCCTGAACCATTCGGGAAAAAACCAAACTTTCACTTGAACTATAAAAGTATGAATCTATGAGCTCAATCCAGCTCCATCCACCAACTGTCTCCGATAGATTTCTCCGAGAGCTCCTTGATTAATTGCAAACGAAAAAAAAGAGCCGAAATAAAAATGGGGGTGATTCATCTGTGTGCAACAAGACGTATCTACTCTCTTCTTCTTCAAAAAGTGAGCCTATCGGTGTCCTATCTACTCGTTAGGGGTCACCACATTACAACCAAACTCCACCCGAAGGAGAGTGTGAGGAATTGAGAGAGTGTGTCTAAACATTGGGGTCATTGATACAGAATGTCTGTCGTCGTTGGGGTTGTCTGCTCGACGATTGTGCAATTTATAGAGGTAATCGACCAGCAGGCGTGGGTCTTTTAGAATGAGATAGTAATTCTTTTGTGGGTAATAAGAGTAAATGGTTCATTGCGCGAACGAGGTGTACTTATTCAATATAAGGGATTTTGTAGAGAATGTCTTCGACACGATGATCGTTGACTTCGAAGGCAACGAAGAAGTGGAAGTTGTTGCGACGCATTGTAATCGTGGCTGAAAAATTTGAAAAAATAAAGAATTCAAGAGTTCAAAACCCACCTTTATCCCCTTTAACATTTTGCATCGTCCATGTTGATCTATCCACATTCTGAATATTCAGATTCGAAATGATTTCATCGAATGAAAAATTCTGGTTTGCAGTGATACGAACCGCTTCCAGCTCGCGGGACCCATTGAGCCATTTCTTAAAATTAAAGTTTTGGCTTCATCGAAAAATTCCTAAATTTTCACCTCAAACATAGTTCTTACAAATCTCTGTGGGAGCCGATCACATCCATGGAAAATGAGGTCTTTCGCTGTGCATTTATCCAAAATCGAGGCAAAAAACTCCTCTCCAATAGTGTCATCCATTTCGAAGCACAATGATTTTAGCTGGAAAAAATACCATAAAAGTAAATTCCGAAAGACTCGGCTCCTCACATTTTTATACTCTTCAAATTCAAAATGAGCCGGTTGCAAGTGACTTTCCACTGCTTCAAAATTGATAACACGACATTTGGCAGCTTTCAAAAGTTGGCAAATGGATTCATGAGATGCTGTGAACTGAAAGCAATTCGATTGAAATGCTAGCTAAACCATTGAAGTATACCGAATGAAAAAGTCGGAGTTGCTCAAAACGGAGCTTCTTTTTTTGAGCATTTTCAGTCAGAAAAGCGCAGAGTTCATCATTCAATGTGTTCTAAATAGTCAACTGATATCTTGATCAGGTATTAGAAAACTTACCACAGTCAACACTTTGACATTCACATAGCAGAAAAACTTGGAAATATATTCTATAGATCTGAATGGAATCCTATCGCACCACGAAAAGTTTCTCCATGCTCTCACACGTCTTCTTTCCTAGAAATTCAACTTTTTTCATTGTTCTAAATCTGGGTTACTTACCAAATCGATATGATAAACGTCTTGTGAGGCCAAAGATTTCAGGTTGTCTTCAATTAAGCTTTTAAGGGCTTTGCAAGTTGCTCGAACTTTGTAGCAGTCTTGATATGTGCACTGGAACATCGAAAATTTAACATATAACATTTTTTGTTTGTATTGACTTACATCTTTTAAAATAGCAAGAACTAATTTAGTTGGAAGCTCGAAAAACGCGTTTTTCTCCTCGGCGCAAGCCATTGTTAAAAAGTGAACATTATCAATAAAAAGGCCTTGGGTCTATTTGTGTCTGAGTCTCTTTGTTTGATGTGTTCCATAATTGTTTCTGAGAAGAGGGGACAAAAGTGTAATGGGTTGAGGAGGAGGATGCGGGGCAAATGTATCGATTGGAGAGCTTAGCTCGGAATCGCAGCGTCAAAAGATTTCAAAACCTAAAGTCTCAGAAATTGAGAATTTCAGATTTTTAGATTCTCAGAATCTCAGTGTCTCGCATACAGGAGTTCTCAAGAACCTCTGTCTGGTGTTTTTTGAAGTTAACCTAAAATTTTCAATAGAATTATCTTTCTGGTACAAAAACACTTGCCGCTGTGGAAGAGAAAAGCCGGTGGTCGCGACCGAAGTTCCTACAACGACAACTACCGTAACCGAAAATATTTTTATTTTCAGTATTCGTTTTCGCGATTATCGTGTTTTTTTTTCAGTCAATTTTTTCACTCTCAAAACTTTTATTTTTCGACTTATTTGGGGAGAAATAACAGAAAAACTGACAAAAATCAGTGAAGCATTAAGATAATAAATATGGAAAATGAAATATTTTTGGGTTACTGTAGTTTGCGTTGTAGACCTTTGGCCACCGGCGTTCCTCTTCCACAGCTCCAGTCTTACTATTTTCAAAGACATCTTTCACGGGAACTGAAAAAAAAAGACTGAAAGTTGGAGTTTTACAGTTTTATTTGCTTGCTCATAAACATTCAAATAAAATCCTTTTTTCCCGCCGAAAATTCAAATTTAAGTATTGTAACCCCTTTCCGAACTTCTAACTTCTGCAATTTTTGCACCCTAATCGAATGTTTCCTTTCGTGATTTGTTCCTACGACATCTCTTTTTTCAAAACAACTTTAGTCTAGTCATTCTCCCTCTCCAGGTGGCAACTTCTTACCTGCCAATGACTAATAATCTCCAGTCCTTTTCTTCTTCTTTGTTCCCTACAAAGTTCGTCTTAGAAAGTCTTCTAATCTTGTTTTCTTTTTTTCGATAAAAAACGTCAACCTAAAAGAAAATGAGCAAAGAAAAGAGCAGGTCTGGTGGCAAGCACCGATGAATAATAATTATTTTTTAGAGTGACTTTTGGAGCTGGAAATAGCCACAGCATAAGACGAAATTGTGCAAGAATGGGTGGTGCCAGGTTCAGCGCCTGGTAGACATTTATGAAAAATGCACTTGTTACAAAGAAATAATTGTTCGGTGTCAAGTTGAGTGCTTGCTTGCTGAAAAATATGATACCGAGCTAGAAACAAACAAAGAAATTGTCTTCGTGATGTTTGTTGGATTCTAGAGAACAAATGGAGAATCGATTTCAGGATCATTAGGTTGCAAGAAGACATCGCTGGAAACAAACGAAATCAACGATAAAACGTTTAGTATTAAAGGAGACACTCCTTTGTTTCTGATATCTTGATCTACTGAAACACGGAACTCAGTCAGTTTGATATTCTGAAATACAGTACATATCAAGAGTTTATTAAAGGTTGGGGACGCTTCTCGAAATCTTGTTCTAGCCCGTCGAAGAGTTGAGCCTGTGGGCTCATAGTTTGAGGTGCCGTGCCGCTACCAGCTGAGCTACGTTCCTCTTTTAACCCAGTTTAATTGAAATTGACCAACATTGGACACAGTGAACACAGTAAAGTAGACCCTGCTGTATGAGGCTGAAAATTTATTAAAACAACTGAACAAAACAAGAGCTTTAATCTTGTTGTTTACAACTTTTTTGGAATCCATGAAAATGAGATATGCTGTTCTAAAGTGGCACTATTCTGAGCTCAATGCTATTTCTGGAAGTTTGGGAATTTTTTGGTTTTAAGCAGATTATCTCATTCGGATGAATTTGTACCGAAAATTTGTCAACTATGAAATTGAAGCTCTGTTTTTGTTTGGTATCCTCTCAAATTTCCAGTCTCATTCAATATACTCTACTATCATAATAAGACTTCTAAAGTTGACCATTTTCCACAAAAAATATATTAAATCGACAGTATTTTGTACTCGCGTTCTTGTACTCACGTACCTATCATACCTCACGTACCTCACGTTCCTATCGTACCTATCACTCACGGCAGTTTTTATTTTTTTACAGAACCAATGAATTTCACAAGGGAGTTACTTGAGGGGGCGGGTTTAACTTTTTTTTTGAAATTTTGGGAGCAGATAGAAAAGCTTATGAGGATTCCAAATCTGGTAAAAAAAATCAGCGAAATGCTCACGTGAGCTGAGTTATGACCTAGAAAAGTTTCCCTATGATTAAGCAATTTCTCGTGAAATTTTTTTCACGGAATAGTGTATTTCTTTTAAAGGTGGGGGGACATGAAAAAAATAATGTTCTCGATATTCCGTCTAAATATGCCCCTCGAGGAGTTGAACTTGTGAGGACGAGGATTGGGGGTGCGGCGCCGCTACCGACTGAGCCACGCGGGCAAAGAGAAAGCGGCACCTCGATTGCATACATAAAGGCGAGGACGACAGCTGTACGCAGAGTGACATTAAGCGTTGTACACCGTCACGGTAGAATGCATACTCTGGCCCCAAAAATCCCCCGTAAAATCTCCTGTCCACCTTTAAAACAATAAATTTCGATCAGCAGTGTGGTAAAATGGCAAGTTCAGAGGAGGAAGGTTGTAGGTTCGATTCTCCCGATCCCAAAAATTTTGCAAAATTTTTTGTTTTATTTTAAGCTGCCATAACTGCAGATGCTGAGCCTAGCATATTGGCAGATGTGCTCTCCCATCTTCCAAGAATGGAGACAGTATGCCTGGTATTCGGTTATGTGGACAGTTGCGCTCCGAGATGTGACAGACCAATTCAATATTGCTTCGACCGGAAAGTTTATGGAAAGTGCCAATTATCTGGGTGCAAAACATTGTCAATGGTCAAATGCGCGTATTGTTCCAAGAACATATGTTTCCAGCAGTTTGTCATCGAATGCCACCGATGTGTTTAGAATCCTCAACTGTTTTTTCAATAAAAAAAACAAAAAAAATTGAAAAAAAAATTTTTGAAAAATCTTCGATTAACCCATGAGCATATTTGTGAATTTCTTCAAAAATTAAATGTCTGTTTTTATTCTGGAAAATGCCTATTCATAACGAGAAACTCCCGAAAAACATGTTTAAATTTTATTCCAGAGCCAGTTATGGCAGCTTAAAATAAAACAAAAAAAATTTTGCAAAATTTTTGGGATCGGGAGAATCGAACCTACAACCTTACTCCTTTGAACTTGCCATTTTACCACTTTACTACACTGCTGATTGAAATCTATTGTTTTAAAAGAAATACGCTATTCCGTGAAAAAACAATTTTGCTTAATCATAGGGAAACTTTTCTAGGTCATAACTCAGCTCACGTGAGCATTTTGCTGATTTTTTAAACAGATTTGGAATCCTCATAAGCTCTTCTATCTACTCCCAAAATTTCAAAAAAGATTAAACCCGCCCCCTCAAGTAACTCCCTTGTCAGATTTCCAGTCCCAAAATTTCAGAATTCCAGTCCCCGACAAACTTTTCAACATCCCGAGTTCCAGAATAGTCAGAAACTCAGTTGTGTCCAAGTCAAAAACCTGAAAAATATTTGATCTTCAAACACCCACTCTCATTAATTGATTCATTCCACTTCACAGAGCCCAAAAATGTTCAAATGATTAGAAAAAGCTCAAAGTTCAGAAACCTGACTTTTGGAACAAATCATGGAATTCGAACTTTGATCTTACAAATGTTGGGTACGAGAGAGATGCTGGAAAATATTCAAAACTCCCCAAAAAGGAAGGATATATGATTGTTGACCCCCATGAAAATGTTTATTTTCAGATAGCAGAAAATTGCTTTTCAGGTGGAGTCTTAAAACTAGGAAGATCGAACGATTTGGAGAAGCAAATGTGATCCCCAACAAACATTTTTTAATCATGAAGATTTCTAGATATTTCGCAAGCTGTTTCGGTCCCAACATCCTCTTCAAAATCCTCTTCAAAATTAGAAACGGAACATATCGTACGCAATATCGTACGCAACCGACGTCTTTCGATGGCATGGTTAGTTGTGAAGGTCATTTATGAGAACAATGTATACAAAAAAGTTGACACTTTTTTCTCAAGAAGGAATTTTCTCAAGATACATTGCAAATATTGCATGCTTGTCTCTTTTTTTTCTCGGGTCAAGACCATATCCGTTTCTTCTTATGTAATTTGTTTTTAATCGAAGGATATCTTGGTATTCTCTGAATCCTGGGAGAGAGGGAGAGAAGTGAAAGAGTTCAGGTTCAGATCTTCGTTCCCGGATGACTAACAAATGAAAGAGGATGAAGGCATCAAACCGAATTATTGAGAAGGCTACATAAAAGGGAGCGGTGGCGGAGTAATTTGTCTTTTTTCTTCATTTTTGCGGCGGGCAGCAGAACCTTGAGAAATATCGGCTATCCGTCTAAGATTTTCCATTTTTTCGACAATACCCGTTGCGTCGTTGCCAGTCGGAACATTTTCTTTTCATTCTTTGGAGGGTTCGGAGATTAGGGATACTGTATTTCGATTGGTGAGTCGGTGAAGGGGATGAAAGGAATATTTGTCGTGAAGGGATTACTGTAGATACTGAAAGTAATATTGTACGATGCACTTTGATCTTTTCATGAACGTCGTACAATATCTTGCCATTTCGTAACCTCTAGTGTTTACATCTGAAATTTCAAAATTCTATTTCAAATATGGGAAACTCGAGGCGGACTCTGAAAATCTCCGGCTCGGTTTTGCCAGGCCCGCGGCCCTAATTATTCAAGTATGTATACTAATACTGAACAAAATCCTCTTTTTTTAACAAGATGATCTTTGTTTTTCCTATATTTAGCTATGCATGCATTCAGTACATATCATGAGACAATAGCTTCATTCCTAGTACCTTAACCAGTGTACGTACATCGAACCTACAACGAATTCTGATAAACATCAAACAGTAAAGACCATTTTTTGGGATTTCTCTTATTTA